CAAGTTCTCCTTGCATTTCTAATAGTTTTTGTTTTACACTTTAGTTGCTATGTTGTTTGGTGCAGTTAGGTTTATAACTATTATCTTCCCTATAACTATGTGCTGTTGATTATTTTAAAATGTTCTTCTTTATCCTATTTAGTGCTTAGCCATATGAGATGAAAACTTGAAGAAATCTTTCTTTACCCCGAAAATGATCTTTTTCTCTACTACTCATCCACATCAAGAAAAAATTTTAAAAATATCTTCATTTTCCTCCCCTCCCATCAATCCTAAATTTTGCTTACACACTAAACGTGTGCTTAGCTCTGCTATCCTACTAAAATTATCTTGTATTATACATTTTCTGTTTCAAGAAAACTTATTTAGCACTTACAACATACATTCTCTGAGTCTCTCCTTATTCCTTTAAATTTAACTTTTTCTATATTTCATTGATCACCTGGTTTCTTTCTCTTTTTTTCCACCTTGACATCTCTAATCTCATCTCTTTGTTATTTTCTTTTCTCTCAAGTATTTTCTTCAGGTAGAACATATAATCTTTCTTATTCTCAAATATTTTTCATTTGAACTGGACATAGAACTCATGGTTGCAATCTATTTCACTTGTTTCACTTATAGTCTGTAGATGCTATTCTACTGTCCTCTGACTTCCGGTTTAATAGAAGTCTGTTTCTCTCTTTTCCTTCATTTCTGATGAGTTAGTAGTCCATATTAACTGTTTTTATATATTCATTTCCAGTTTCCTCTTTAATCTACTGCAACCTGGGGCCCATTTCTACACTTCATTAAAACTGTTCAGGTAAAGGTCCGTGACAATTTCCTAATTGCAAAATTCAATAGATTCTTTTCAGTTTTCATCAAATGGCACCTGAAGAATTCAACAATATTCCAGAAATTCTTCTTTGGCTTCTCATTACAATACTCTCCTGGTTTTTCTCCTTCCTCTCTAATCATTACTTTGCTACTCCTCTTTAGTTTGCCCTTCAAAGGTTTGTTCTGCCATTGACCTTTCTTTCTCATTACATAAGTATGTCTTGAGATGGTCACAACTACTCTTACAGTTTCAACTTCCACCTATATCATGATGTCTAACAAACTGCTATAGGTGAATAAGAAACACAAGACCAGTTGGTAGCTATTAATATTAAATGACTTAGACTTTCACACTTGGAGCCATGATAAATATTCTTGGAGCGCATTTGCTCTGCTGATATTTTCATTTAAAACCAAGCTCAAAGAATAACATTCTTAGATTGCCCTAAAAGTGCAAAGAATTTTAAAATGCAGCATTTATTATGACCCTACGTAAAAGGTAACAGTAACTGCCACCTTGGGAGAACTGTATCATTGTTTTTGAAAAGTATTCTCTTCCAAGACAGCTTCTAAAATTCTAAGATACACTGCCTGTTTACCTTATCTCGGAAGAAAAACACTATATAGGGCAGAAGTGGAATACAGGATCCATTTAATTAGGAGTAAACCAAAGTCT